GGGTTTCACAATTTCCTCTACGGGAATCTCATTAACACCGCGCAAGCCTCAAGTGCTGACTAACATTGAAGAGTGGACAACCGCTTTCAACACGTATATGTTAATCATAGTACAAAAATTTCCAAATCGTGCATCAGAACTTTTACAGTACATGGAAACCATCCGTCATGCGGCAAAAACGCATGGCGGTTTAGGCTGGTGCATATATGAGCATAAATTTCGCTATAAAGCCGCCGCGTGTCGAACATTGTCGTGGGCCAACATTGACATGCAGTTATGGTTGCGTATTTTCACCGCTAGCTCTACTCAGTTGCGGGAAGATTATTCCCTTTTTTCTAACGGACCCTCAAACAAAGCTGGGGCAGCGAGGGACGGAATTTGCCACAGCTACAACAGGGGTAGACCTTGCCCATTACGACCCAATTGCCCTTACACTCACCGATGTAACCGAATTGGCTGTGAGGGGAACCATCCTGGCCATCCTGGGTACCAATGTCCACAATCCCGTGGGGAAAACGATCACAACGACGACCACCCTTCACAATCCGCCCGTAGCTCCGCGAAGACCAACAGAAAATAGAACTGTTAGCTTAAAGTGTAGTATATATAATAGCAGTAATTCAATACCTTTAGATAATACTATAGTTACGCCAATTCGCGTTGACGCGCTTGAAGGTGCTCTTTGTGGGGATCCCAATTCATCATTCGTTTTGAAACTCTGTTCAGACTTGCGTTTCGGTGCTCGTCTCGGTTACGATGGTCCTCGCATGTCAAAATTTTCGAAAAACCTCAAGTCTGCCATTGACAATCCAACTATTGTTTCAACTAACTTAGCTAAGGAAGTTGCTCTTGGCCACACAGCTGGTCCTTTCACCAATCCGCCATTTGCTAATTTACAGGTTTCGCCAATTGGCATTGTACCTAAAAAGCATTCGAAGATAAATTTCGAACCATTTTTCACCTCTCGTTTCCAAAAACGGGAGAATCGATCAATTCCTTTATCGAGAAAGACGACTTTTCATTGCAGTACATAAAAATCGACAACGCAATTGCGGCTTTAATCCGATTAGGCAGAGGCACTTATCTAGCTAAAACTGACATAGAATCTGCTTTTCGTCAATTCCCTGTTCATCCTGACGACTGGGAGTTATTAGGCATATATTGGAACAAGTCCTATTATTTTGACAAAGTGTTGCCATTTGGTCTGCGTAGTGCGCCGTATATTTTCAATCCACTTTCGGATGCACTTGAATGGATTTTACTCAACAAGTGTTTTATAAGCTATGTTGGGCACATTCTAGACGATTTTCTCATCATGGAACCACCGGCCCAAACTGGGCTACCTTCTCAAGCATGCCAAACTAGCCTTTCTAGCATGTTGCTAACATTCCGCACGTTAGGTGCCTATTGCCGAGCATAAAACTGAAGGACCCAGTCTCATTATAGAATTTCTAGGCATTATCATTGACTCACAAAAGATGGAGGCTCGTCTTCCATCCGATAAATTGAACCGTCTATTTGTTGATTTAAATTCGTGGCACACAAAAAAGTCAGCTACACTCCAAGAGCTCCAATCACTAATTGTCACATTAAATTTTGCATGCAAAGTAATTGCCCCGGGTCGAGCTTTTCTGCAACGTATCATAAATCTAACACGGGGTGTCTCCAAACCACATCATCACATTCGCTTGACGAATGGTTTTCGCGAAGACGTAAAAATGTGGCAACTTTTTCTTAAAGCTGGAATGGGACAAGTCTATTTCTCAACTCTTTCTGGGAAAATTCTACAAACCTTTCTCTCTATACGGATGCCTCGGGGACCCTTGGTTTTGGGGGAATTTTTCGCAACCAGTGGTTTCAGGATAAATGGTTGCCTCACCAAACACTTACCACAAAAAATATCAGCATTGATTGGCAAGAGCTCTATGCTATTGTGGTAGCCTCCTACATATGGGCACCTTTATGGGCTCAAAAACGAATTGTGTTTTACTGCGATAACCAGGCAGTGGTTTCCATAATCAATTCCAAACGTTCAAAAAGCCCTCGTATTATGGACTTAGTGCGTCCTTTAACCTTACAAACACTGAAATATAACTTTTATTTCAAAGCCTTACATGTGCCTGGTCATTATAATGACATTGCTGATTCTATCTCCCGTTTTCAGCAAACCAGATTTCGGCGGCTAGCACCGCATGCAGACCATCAACCTCAACCTCTACCAGAGGAACTTTCTCGTCTCTAGACGCTGACTTACGTCGTTATCAACTTGCTTCGTTAGCTAAAGGTACGATTAAAACTTATAGCAGTGGCGAAAAACAGTTCACGAATTTCTACTATCAATTCCATTTACATAAGTATGTGCCTCTTCTGCCAACAACGGAAAACATTCTGATTTACTTTGCTGTTTTTCTCGCTAAGACTGTAAATCCAGACACCATCAAAGTCTATCTCGCAGCAGTACGCCATATGCATTTGGTTAACGGCTACGACCTTCAAATCACCAAATTTCAACGCCTACACTATATTTTGCGAGGTATAAAGCGAGTAAAAGGAGTGTCTACAAGAACACGCCTACCAATTACATTAGACCATTTGAAATTGTTTCACCGCATATTACACTCACGGACATCGCCAACACATGATGAAACCATGATTTGGGCAGCGATTTCCATAGCATTTTTCGGGGTTTTGCGGATTGGTGAAATGACTTGCTCCGGTCCTTATAATTCTTCAACAAACCTTTGCCGATCAGATGTAAGTTTTCATAACAAAAAACGTGGGGATAACGAGGTTTTTCTGCAACTACGAATTAAAGCGTCAAAAACCGATCCGTTTCGATCAGCCACAATAACCATTGGCAGCAATTCTGGTATATATTGTCCAGTAAGGGCCCTTCAAACCTACCTTTCACGTGCGCCAACGGACTATGCGGGACCATTGTTTTGCTACTCAAACGGTGTTCCTTTATCACGTAGTCAATTTACTAAGGAACTACGAACACTTTTGGCCCAAGGTGGTCATCACCCTGCTCACTATGCAGGCCACAGCTTTAGAATCGGAGCAGCTACCACAGCTGCGTCCCAAGGTTTGCCTCATTGGCTTATTCAAACGCTAGGAAGATGGTCTTCCGATTGTTCCCTCAGATATATTCGCACGCCAATCAATGTCCTTACAGACGTTTCAAAACGATTGATTGCAGAGTGAGATAAACACTCGATCGTTGTTTGTCGGTCTATGGGGATCACACACACTATCGTTGTGTGATTGTGGAGGCAATTGCTCTAGTATGAGGTTGCAATTTTACCATAGACCTCACGTTTTCTTTACGGAATTTGGCAACCTGGCATACAGCCAATTCCCATTTACAAAAATCACTCTATTTCTGCATATGAGTATATGTGCTGAGCCAGATCAGTGTTCTAAGAAATATTTCCCTGATCATTTTTTCCCAGGGCCCAGCTCAGAGTATATGTCTTGCAGGGCAGGCTAGGATCCAGCCCTAAATGGAGTATATGTTCTAGCCGACTCAGGACCCAGCTCAAAATCCGTAAAAGTATATGTCTTGGGCAGATTAGGACCCAGCTGCAAATCAGTATATGTCCTAATCGACTTTCCCCAAGATCCAGCTTTTCAATACGAGTATATGCCCTGGGAACCGCTCAGCACCCAGCTCTTCGCAGATAAAAAATACAGTATATAGAGCAGTTGTCCCACACTTCCATAACCCCACAAACCTTGTGTTCTTATGCGTGTCGTTATATTAAATATCTCAATATATATATATATATATATATATTTATTAAACGGTGAGGACATTAATGGCTTAAAAAAGGCTGAAAAACGTTTTTTGGACCATATCCGCGTTTTATCCTTTTGGACAAAACGCGGATATGACTTAAAAAGAGCTGAAAAACGTTTTCTGGACCATATCCGCGTTTTATCCTTTTGGATAAAACGCGGATATGACTTTAAAAAGGCTGGAAAACGTTTTCTGGACCATATCCGCGTTTTATCCAAAAGGATAAAACGCGGATATGGCTTAAAAAAGGCTGAAAAACGTTTTTTGAACCATATCCGCGTTTTATCCTTTTGGATAAAACGCGGATATGACTTAAAAAGAGCTGAAAAACGTTTTCTGGACCATATCCGCGTTTTATCCTTTTGGATAAAACGCGGATATGACTTTAAAAAGGCTGAAAAACGTTTTCTAGACCATATCCGCGTTTTATCCAAAAGGATAAAACGCGGATATGGCTTAAAAAAGGCTGAAAAACCTTTTTTGAACCATATCCGCGTTTTATACTTTTGGATAAAACGCGGATATGACTTAAAAAAGGCTGAAAAACGTTTTTTGGACCATATCCGCGTTTTATCCTTTTGGATAAAACGCGGATATGACTTAAAAAGAGCTGAAAAACGTTTTCTGGACCATATTCGCGTCGCGGATATGGCTTAAAAAAGGCTGAAAAACGTTTTTTGGACCAAATCCGCGTTTTATCCTTTTGGATCCTTTTGGATCCTTTTGGATAAAACGCGGATATGGCTTAAAAAGAGCTGAAAAACGTTTTCTGGACCATATACGCGTTTTATCCTTTTGGATAAAACGCGGATATGACTTTAAAAAGGCTGGAAAACGTTTTCTGGACCATATCCGCGTTTTATCCAAAAGGATAAAATGCGGATATGGCTTAAAAAAGGCTGAAAAAGTTTTTTGGACCATATCCGCGTTTTATCCATGGATAAAACGCGGATATGACTTAAAAAGGGCTGAAAAAAGTTTTTTTGAAGCCATCCGTCCGTCCGTCCGCCACTCATCCGTCCGTCCGTCCGTCATCCATCCGTCCGTCCGTATCCGCGTTTTATCCTAACCCCCGCTCAAAGGTCGAGAGAACTGCGTCAAAGCGACGATTGTAGCCGTCCCCTGATGAGAGGAAGCCTTGAGATGCTTGAGTTGTGTGTCGCTAGCGACCGAATGGTGTGATAAAGGTTGTACTTTGTCCTTACACAGGATGATTCCTACAATAACAGATAAGTCGGAAGCTACTGTGCGAGGAATCTTGAAATCCTTGGATCTTTTCCATGTATCTTCCAGAGTTGCTTTGAATTACTTCTTTTAGGAATTGGTAATCATTGTCGTCTTTTGCCATTCTGGAAAAGTACTCGTTGTTATCAGAGACAAAAATTCGTAATCCTTCTTCTAACTCGTTGACGGAGTTCACAATGGGAACATTATCATGTCTTCTCAACAGGTGTCTTAATCCATAATCCGTGATGTTCTCAGCTCCTTTCTGATACTTTACCTAGTCTAAACCTTGAATGGCGAGAATTTGTCGCTCGATACGCAGTGGTGTTCTTGAGGTTGGATTGTTGAAGAGATGCACAAGTGGCTTGCAATCCGTGATGATTTCAAACTTTGGCGCTCCAACCAAGTATTTACGAAGGGAATCATCACAAGCAAACTTGATCGCAGCTGCTTCTAACTCAGTCTGTCCGTATCTTATATCAACGTCAGTTAGAGCACGGTTGACTACGTGACACATTTTACACTGTCCCTCGTCATCTTGCTGGCATAAAATGGCACAGGAACGTTGCTCGATTTCTCTGTTTTCTTTCCAGCATCTACATAGATTCTTATCGGTCTATCAGGAACAAAGTACGAAAGGGCTGTCTGCTCCGTCAAACTGCTCTTCAAGCTATCGAAAGCTTCCTGTTCTATAGGTCCCCACTGGAAGGCTGACGTTGACTTTGTTAGCTGTCGCAGCAGTGCGGCAATATGGGCAAAGCTGGTGATATATCGCACCATCTGCATAAAGCTTTTTACTCCTTTTGAACCTTCTCCACACCCTTGCAACGCTTCACTTTTACCTTCGATGGTTTGATTCCTTCTCCCGTAAATCTGACACCATAGAACTCGATTTTATCCTTTCCAAATCCACACGTCTCCAATCTTAATGTTAATCAATGGTCTTGCAGACGTGTTAGGACTAGGTCGAGTGTTGTGTTGTGCTAATTTCGGTCTTTCCCACCAATTACACGGTCGTCTCGATTACTCTCTACGCGAGCAATTCTCGCTAGAATCTCATTTATTCGTCTATCGAATTCATTCTGGCTGGTTATCCATCCCTGGGCAAGCGTTTCATACTTCAAATGGTCACTACTAGGTACTTCTTGGACTCCTCGTCAACTTTCATTTAGTGGTAGCCATTGTTCATATCAAGATGTGAAAACACTTTGCAGTCTCCGAACGTTGGCGACAATTCATCTACTTGTAGCCCAGGTACGATGCGGGTTCTCGATACTCCTTTGCAGTGGCGGCGCCAGGGGGGGGGGGCAAGGGGGGGCAAATGCCCCCCCCAAAT